TATAAGATTATATATACAAGAACTAAAAAAAATTCGCACCACTGGTAGTCATGAGCAAAATGAGCTGTAAAAATATTTTTAATGACTTAACTTTTTGATTATTCATTCAAAATATCATGAAAAATCTAACCTTTGTTTAAGGTATAATGATCAAAAGAAAATTATAGATCTTGTCATGAAAAAAAATATTTTTCTTAAACCTATGTGTGCCACAATTATTGACACCCCTTGAAATTATTAAGAATGAAATCTAACTGAAGTATATTCCCATTTATAATTTATGTTTCTCAGTTCACCTGAGTGATTAGGAACACTTAAATGGTCAGCCATGACTTCCTGTTTCACTAGGGAATATATAAGAGATGAAACACAGGCCAAACGCTTTCAGCCATCCATCATTATGAGAAAGACCAGAGAAAACTGCAATGATTACAAAAGGTTGTTAAGCTGCACAACCAGGAAATGGCTACAAGAAAATAGCTAAACAGTTGAAAATGCGCATTTCCACTATCAGAAGTTTAGAATAACTGGAGATGTTAAAAATCTGCCGGGAAGAGGACGTATGTCTATACTGACCCCATGCACAGTGAGGAGGGTGGTTTGAATGGACTAAGAATCTCCATCAGAGACGGGGAATTGCAGACATTTGTCTCAGATCCCTTGTTCTCTAGACTCTTTAAGCATTATAGAAGAAGGCTCAGAGCTGTAATCTTTGCAAAGGAAGGCTGCACAAAGTATTAAAAGAGGGGGTGCCAATAATTGTGGCACACATAGATTTGAGAAAAAAACATTTATTTCCTGATAAGATTTAGTTTTATCAGTCATTGTACTTTGAAAAAAGGATCAAAAGGATAATCAATAAAGAATATTTTTTACAGTTTGTTTTGCTCATGTTTACCAGGGATGCAAATATTTACTTAAAAAAAAATTACTTTAGCTGCTTTTTCACAGCAGGCATTAAATGCAATTTCTGCCTGTTTTGGAGGTGCCTCTGTTGATTTACAAAACTGGTAAACTGAATTTTTGCCATCATTATTATGCAAAAAAGTTATCATTCATAAACTGTGTTTAAATGCTATTTTTTGAGAGCGGTACACAATTTGTCTATATAAAGAAAGCTGCAGTTATGCTGTCTGTTTTGTCTGAGTATGGCTGTCTTTGTGGAGAGCTGTGAATTGTTTTCAGCATGTGGTTCTTACCCCTCACCTTTCACCCCTCATTGCTCACTAGCAGTCATGACATTTCACAGAAATGTTTGTGATCAAAACTATCTATTTATTTTCCACCTGCACTAGGGAACCTACAGAAAGAGGCTACTACAGAACCCCTGAAGAACCCTCTTTTAGCAAATTCCCTAACATCCTCGCAATCCTTGAAAAAAGTGTGTTTGACTAAACAGTAAGGTGTCTGTAACTCTGGACCTGTTTTCATTTTATAGTGGAGCATTCCACTGACCTAACAATGACACTTTAGAGAAGTTGTTCATTTACCAGACTCTGTTTAGTCACCTGCCCTCGCACGTCACTGAAATAGTTGGACCAGTAAAATGAGTCACGTACAGTGCAAGCCAATGAATCACAAACAGATCCATCCTAAATCTTTTCTGAAGTAGGTTTTCAGATAAAAAAGTCAAAGCCATATCTAATTGATTTTGCAACAGACCCTTTTTTTTACGAGTGTTGCACAACCTTTTTTGGTGCTATATAGAATGTAAGAAACAATATAGAACAGGTTCTCCAAAGAAAGTTTTCTTAATTTTGCTGGACACCCATAAAAAGGTCATTGCCATATGCAACTGATTTAGCATCTAACCCTTGACCATGTATCTGCAGATAGGCCAGTGCCCTCACTCTCATTTCTCTCCACTGTCATCCACTCAGTATTGTATGTTATTGTCTATGGTGTGAACCCTTTCAACCTCTATTCAGTGAAATACAACAGACCTGAGCTAAGCTATAAAGCTAACTATTCTATATAACTATTCTCACAGCAACTTTTCTCTGTACCTTTACACCCACACCGGTTGTGCAAAGTCTTTACGTGGAAGCTTGCATGCATTACCAGACATGACACAGTAAAGACTGTAGATATAACATAATGACAAGAACCTCTTAATCGGAACCATGAATGAGAAAATATGGCATGGAATTAAGTAATTAAGTTAGCAGTAAAAGAACTTCTACATGATTTACATGATGTAACTTCTACACTTCCAACTAAAAAAAAATAAATAAATAAAATAAAATAGTAATGATAAATATACAAGTATCCATACACAGTGCCTTTCAGTAAAGAGCTGGCTGTTCCTTTGAGAATATTCCATTACAGGAGGTAAGAATTTAAAAACGCCCTCTATGTCCAGCACAATCCTAGAGTTTCTTGTGTGCTGCCAAAATCTCCATCTAATCCAGAGATTAAAAGTGTGAGATGTTAATCTTTTGGTTTGAGGGAAAACGCAGAGATCCAAAACAACATCAGAACAAAAAACACCTCTCAATTGCTCACAGGCATGTAGCCGCATCGTCCCTCTCAGCCTTTTCCAGAATGTTTGTGCTATTTGAGGTCACTGTCTGTTTCCTCAGGATGCTTCTGGATCAGGGTGTGGAGGAACAGAGGAATGAGTAAAGACAGAGTGAGGAAAGATAAAGATGCAACACACATGTGACCATGAAGATGTCTCCGGTTTACAGCTGTGTTTCCCGTAGAATCTGGCCTAGGGGGAGTGGCCAAAACTAATCAAATCCATTTGTAGTTGAGGTTAGTTGGAAAGATTGCTATCAGATGGATATTGCTGTGTTACTGGGAATAAGGTAGTTTCAAAAGTATTCTCCAGGGCATTATTCATATTACAATATCTTCTGTAGCTCAGACAAAATAAGAAATGATTCTCTTGACAGATTGTTGACTGTCTGTTAGGGTTCAGCATACGGCATCAATAGCAGAACCATCTCCTCCCACGAAGCTTGAAGTGTTATGTAGCCTCCAGACCCCTCCTTTCTCTAGACAAAGAAGCAGCTGACAAAAAGTCAGGCACAACACATGAGTGTGTGTAATAGTTATGACCCTCCAGATAACGCTTCTGTTCCTGCCCTTTCCTATTAGGAAATTACAAGTAGACAAATGGATTAATACAATTTCTGACTCTATTAAAGGAGTAAAAACCTCAGTGAAGCAGTTCTGCTAAATCTACACACAAAGACTGACTGTTTAAGGGACATTGTGACCTAAAACTAGTATTAAATATATTATTTGCCTTGTTATGCAGTATGCAGCATTGCATCCCTCAGCTTCAGCAAATTCACAGAATTTACCATTTTGTATCTTTTCTGTGTTATTGGCTTATCAGTTTTCCCTCTCTACAATACCCATAAATACATAAATACAGCATACATCTCTGCACCCCCCTACTAGAGTAGCCACTGACATAGAGGCTAATAAAACCAGATGTGATATTCAGCTTCCTAGCAGTATTGTTAGCTATCAGGTTTCTTTCTGCACTGGCCGGCTAGAGGGAAAATAAATAAATAAATAAAATAAAATAAAATAAATAGCCCGCCTCCAAGTATCTGCTCCAAAGCAGTTTTTCTAAAGTTCCTCCCACCTTCACTACACAGCATATGAAGGGCCCACCAATGGCAAAATCAAAATTTTTCTTTTTGGCCCAGGAAAATAAGCTGTTTTCACCTCTCAAAAATGTTCTCAATATAAAGTTTTACTCATGAAACAGTCGCTCTGTTTCACATTAGTTGTGTTCCAGTGTAAAAGTGAAAGCTTGTGTATAGAAAAAAATAGAGCAAAGTCAATAGATGACATCTGATATGAGAACATAATACTATACAGCCAGCACCTCCTTCCTCAGATTGGGTTTTGTTTTGTTTATGATTAGAATTGGTATATGGCAACATTCAAGGACTGGATCACTAAAAAAACAAGTTTACATAATCTTCTCCTTTACCACAAACATAGTTGATCAACCAAGACATGCTTAGTGTCCAAAGTTTGCTTTTTAGGTTTGCAGTGCAGCTTTTAGGCTGAAGTAATAGAAGCCTGTGTCATCCAGAAATCTTTTGAGTGGCTTAGACTTCCATTACTTATAAACTTTAGCCTCGTAGCTTCGGACAGAGAAGCAGACTTCAGCAATCAAACATGTTTTGACTGATCAACTATGTTTGTGGTAAACGGGAAGATGCAAATTACATTTTTCGGTGAAGCATTCCTTAGCCTTGAGCCAGCTTTGCAGGCTGTTTTAATGTACACTGTCTGCCCTCTGGTGGTCGGCAAGAGTAATGAAAACTGTGGCCATGAATGACCAGTAGGCAAGTCTTGCCTCAGGAGGGGGCCAAACTGCTGGAGCAGAAATCTGTCCTCCAAGTGTGGAAGACTAAAAGAGCAAGTGTGAGGCAATACAGAGCAATGCAAATCTAAAAATACATTTTTGGCCTAGCATTTTAAAATAGGAGGGCTTGATTAGCCCCTTGGCACTGCTGCAGATGCCAGCTTACACCGTTCACTGTCCTGTTTGTCCCAGGTGGAGATCAGCTGTAACAAGCATACAAACAGGAGATGCCAGGTCCTGTGTTACTGAAACATGAGCACACATCGCACAGAGGAGAGAAACATGGAGTGAGAGCCAGCTTGTGCTGAGATGCTGCAAAGCTGCTTGATGAGATATATTTCATCAAGGGGCAAATACTGTGGGTGCCAGAGGATGTTGTTTTAGAGGATGGCCCCTTTAAACCACACTGATTGTAATAGCTAACAGACAATGTGATGCAGGTAGTCTAAAATGGTCATTTAGGTATTATACAGTCAACAAAAAAGGCTGGAACTTACTTTTTAGAGCAGAGTTTCACGGCTCCAGTCCTGCAGGCCCACCTCCGCTGCACATTTTAGTGTTTTCCTTCTGATCTCACAACATCAGTTAATGATCAAACCCTTCATGGCCTGAATCAGATGTGTTCAAGCAGGAAAAACACAGACTTTGTAGTTGTGCAGGTGGATTACAGGACTGGAACTGATAAGTGATGTTTTTGAAAACCCTTATGTTATTTTCAGTTTTCTGTTCTTTTTTCCAACCCAGCACTCACAAGAATAGATCTATAGTGCTGTGTAACACTTCTATTTTTGTTTCCTCTCAACATTCTTGTAGTCTTAAAGTAGTCTGTTGTACTTGTGTAGTATCCTGTAGTAAACCTCTGTCTTTCTCCTTCTCTCTTTATGCATTTTACTTCCAACCTCTTTTATTCTTTACGTACTATTGTTCCAACCTCTTTCTCTCTTCATTCCAACCTTGTTTCAACATGTTGAATAAAACTAGTTCATTTACTTGTTACCACATTCAGTAATTTGTTAGGTTGAACGACAAACCATTTTTACAGTGTAGCAGTCCCTGGAAACTGAGTCACCACTGCGTAGCCTCAGAGCCTACTCATGAGTGTTGGCGTTTCCGGCCTACGTACATCAACACAATCAATCATTGGCTACTATCAGCGAGCCTACACGGCGCAGACGATTTCAGTCCAGCCTGTTTACATGTAATTCACACACGCAGCCTGTCTGGCTGTGTGCAGCTGTTTGCCGGAGGTGCAGTCAGTGTCTGCGCTGTTACTAAACGGTGTGAGCGCGGTGTCGCTTTAAGAGTGAAAGTGAAATCCGAGGCAGAGAGAAAAGAGGAGGCGCCTTGCCCTGCAGTAACCTCCTCCAGCCCTGTAGCTGCTGCAGCATCTCGCTAGCGCCTGCCTGCTAACTCCACCGGTCTGGTTACCGAGCTGCCGAACACCGCGGAAGGGCCACACGGACCGCGGCGGCCTGATGACGGCGTGTGCCTCACACCGTGGATGGAGGAGGAGGAGGAGCGATTAGATGCGCCGGCCGTGGATATATTTTGGCAGCCTGTGATGTTTTCATCCATCATCATGCCCAACTAGCTAACGAGTACAGCAGCAGCGACGGAGCCAGCTCACACTGTTGATGATTGACGAGAGGTAAGTTAACGTGAAGCTTCTGTTTTTATCTCAGCCTCTGTTTATGGCTGACAGCAACCATATGCCTGTGTGGATATTGTGCTTTTTTAGCAAATGCGACGGGAGCTGTTGGCCTGAGGAAACCCTCAAAATGTTGGTAGCGAAGAGCACATTTCCGTTACGTTGTGGTTTCAGTATTTTTGTCTCCCTGAGGGAGATGACTAGCAGTGGTTTGTAGTAATAAATATAGAAGAGCTCAGCTCCATAACTTCCACATCATGACAACATGTAGGCTTGTGATTGAGGACGAAAATTGTAGATGCAGTGGGACGCAGTCTCTCCCCAGCACTGGGCGACGTTGCTGAAATTCAGTATCACGATATTCTCTGCATTTATCACGGTACTGTATTTGGTAATATTTAAGTTTGCATTAATGAACACATGCTTAATGAGTGCTGGTATTCTGCTGAAAGAGTGTTTTACAAACGTGACATAGCTTGTTTTGGTTGAACTGTTTTGGTCTGTTCAGCTTTTTACAAAGTAAACGATAGTCAGTCAAGCCACATTTGCAGAAAGTTCTGTTTTTCATGGCTTTTAAACTGTTTAAAACAGTCTGAAGCACCCAACAAAAGAAATACAGTACATCTAACTGGGCCTCAATACCGTAGTGTGAATAAATGCTAATGAAGTGCAAAAAAACAAAATTCAAAATAGAAGTAAAAAGACAAAATAAACCACTTGGCCACAACGCTGTTTTATTTTATGGGCATTGATATAATGCTCATTATCTTTCAAATGTATTGCTAAAATATCACTAAAACTGAATATCACAGTATGTCAAAATCATGGTGTACAATAAGTCACCCAGCACTAACCACACTTTCTGAAACACGTCACAGTTCAGTGTCTTCTGAACTTGCTGCTCAAGTTTGGTAGCTAGCTGAATTTCTTTGTTACTAGGATTGAATTTGAGATTTGTTTTGCTGTGTTGACAAGAAACCATAACAGTGTTTGTTATTCAGTAATGACACACCTACATTTACTCAGTGATTTACGTTGAAACAGTAAATTCATACAGATTCCTGAGATTTCAGATTGCCAGCCATTCAGTGAGTTTGACTGCAGCAACCAGACTAAATGCTATTTTCCTGCCCTCCCAACTTACACAACATGCACACATGCTGTGGAGAGGCAGGTCTGTGCTGCTGTTAGTCTCAGTTCTGTGTGTTTTTCCAGTTTACTTTCATGTTCAGTAACAGTCAGTCATGATGAGTGAATCAGTTACCATATTTGCTTAGGCCGCATCTCGTCGCAGCACTTTTGTGTTCAGTCATTTGATGCTAGACATCATATCATATTTAGGATTTAGGGAATTGGTGAAACTGACACCTTGCACACTGGAATGGGAGTCTTTTTCAGCTAAATCAAGGCCTCCAGGAACTACAGGCTTAGAAATGCTGATATCTGACACTGACATCTCTAATGTTTGTTCATGCATGTACTCTCACGTCAACCTGTGTGTTTAAGATACAACAGTGCTTCAGCATTTGCTGTGTAGAGGTTACTTGAGTGGGTGAGTCCAGATTGCATGACTGGCTTTAAATCACGTTTTCACCAATAGCGTTGCAAAGTACTCATGCAGGCCTCCATATGTTGCTATTTGACCTCTGTAGTCACTTGTCCTTGACAACTGGCACGTGTATCCCCATATAAGGAACAACTTCAAATACTCCTTCTATGGCACCAACCTGTGTGCTTTAGACAGCCTACTAGGCTTACATATTAGATGGCTAGAAACAGGATATGGTTTTGTGTGCTTCGGTTGTCTAAGCAACTGTCATATGTCATTGTTCAGTCAAAGTCTTGTGGAGAACAAAGCTGAATATTTCATTAAGCTAATGGCTGCACCTTTATATTTATTAAAACTTGTGGCTACACTCTTTAGTAGTAAACCTTTGTGGGCTTGTGAGTAGCATTTGCTGCTTTGGAGCATGGAACAAGTCGAAACATGCAGGGAGCAGGACAGTCTGTTATTAACTTCCTGTGCCACACAGCGCACATGTAGGCGTAGAGATAACACTATCAATTCTGTAAAGAGAGAGGTATGCAGTGAGGTTGGTTGGGCCAGCCCACCAACAATAGGCTGACACAGTCAGACCACATTGCATACAAATCTCTGAGTGCGACAGATCACTTGACCATGAACTGACTGTACACATTACAGTGCTGTAACATGCTCTGTTCAGCTACATGACACTGTATGCCTGTGCAGCATGCTCCACTGAAGCTCTGTTCAGCAATGACATTATGAGCCTTTTTACACCTTGCATTAACATGTCTTTCATGTCTGGATCGTATATGGATAAACTTTGGCCAGATTCCATTTATGCTTTCTTCAAAAACCGTCCCCAGCTAGACCAGATGAGATCTGACCAGCTCAGCAGTGAGGACAACATCTGATTGTTTGATTAGCCCTGTGTCCAACCAAACAGGTTTGTAAAAAAAAAAAAAAGAAGAAGAATGCAAAATAAGTATCAAAGTCATAGTTTTGACTGTAGACATGCTGACTTAACTGGCCATGTTTTATTTCATAAGGAGTTTGATAAAGTCAGCACTGTTATTGTGCAATACTGTAGATGCTACTTCTGCCTCATCTTTCTACTGTCTACAATTCAGAGCAGGCATGTGCACTGCACATACTCTGTCTTTTGAGCACTTATAGCCCTAGGTAAGAACACTCTTAATGTTTTCCATTAGCTGCATGTGGTTGTGAACAATGGTTTTACAAACTAGGTCAGTCAGACGTGTGTGTATGTGCTGAGAACTCAGACATCCTATGGAAGATAATCTATGCAGATTGAAGGTGCTGAATTATTTGTGCATTTTCCACATTCTGCTCAGTTAATTGTGTATTAGCCGCACAGTTTTGGTCTTAGTTATTAGCACATCACGAAATGCGGCAACTGATGGATTCCAGTTAGCTTCAGTCTTGACTGATTAGCCCATTGCCGATATTGTCAGTGATCTGAGTATGGTCACAGCATCATAATCAAGCAATTGTATCTGAAGTGTTGATATAGTGCTGACACGCAAAGCATGTATTACATTCAGTGGTGATTCTAATGAATCACCGATGCTCATGTTGACCCTTGACTTCTGAAAATATATAGTTTCTGCTCATTGCAGTTATAAAAGAGAGACCGGCGTTCAGTTCGAAGCCTGCCATTCTCTAGCAGTGGAATGGTGTATCTCCAGATGGAGGGTTTCCTGATTGAAAGGTATTCAAAACTAGCAATTATACAATTTAAAACAGCGCACTTACATTTTCATTACATCACAGAATCCTTTACAGGTGGTGTTTTTTGGAGCAAGCAGACAGCAAAATCAGCATGTAGTCTAGTCCATAGATGTCCCCAGTTATATTTTAATCTCAATGGTGACTTGCTGAGTTATACTTTAATCAGATTAGTCAGTGTTTGACTGGTCTGCTGCCACTTGGGTAATTAGAACTTATGCCTAAGCATCCAACATCAAGAGAAGATTTGCTTGCAAACTAAAACAGTCTCACTGAACAAGGTGAAATTCTTATATGCAGTTATTTGCAACCTTTTGTGGACCAATGAAGCTATCAGTGCTCTCTAAGCTGTATGTGGGTATTGAGCAGACCTTGAATTAAGCTAGCATTTTATTAATGAAGCCATATGGCAAGAACAGAGTCCAACAATAAGGGTTGTCTGATTGCCAAGGACATGCGTCTGCCTAGTGAAAGCTGTCACTGACTTGCAGAGTCAGCCAATTGAGTGTCCTTATTCCTTCCTCTCCCATTTGTTAAACATGATGTAAATATGTCTTGACTGTGGCATATCAAAACCTTTTAAGTCTGTTTTCTTTGTTTTGTTTTATTTTATTTTCATTCTTTATTTCATCATTTGAATGCCGCCTTTTATATCGTGTGAACATTACTTGATTTATGGACTAATGGAAATAGTCCAAAAGTACTTTCAAAAGTAAAGAATGTTCTTCCTTCTCCTATAAAGTTACCTTTTCAGAGGTATAAAGTTTTATGACAAGCGACAAAATGCCTTTCACATTTTTATGTACCATTCTGTAAATTAAAAGATAATATAATTTAGTGCTTTATGCTTAAATCTGGGAGACTGCTAGAATTTAGAAGTGATGGCCCATCATAGAATCAGATTGTAGAGAGTCTTGCTGCTCTCAAAAGAAAACAACAAGTTTTCAGAAGAGAAAAACTAAAGGGTCAGCCTAAAGAAAGGCATAAATACTGTCCAACTACAGTAAAGGTCAGGCCCTCTGGCTCAGTGAGCCCTTTGCTGGAGGAACAGCAAGTTCAGCTTAAGCTACCTCTGTGGCTTAAAGTTCTTCGGCACTGTGCCGGAATCCCGGCGTGAGGCTGGGGCTGTTATAGATTTAAAAATAGATAATTATAAAACAGATAGTTCCTAAAATCTGATTGGCTGAGCCACATTCAAAGCCATTGTAAAATACTTGATATAAGCTCCTCTACGACCGCCACGCAACAACTGAACTCTGTATTACTGCACCACATCACAAAAACTCCTTGTGCTGTTAATGGAATAATCTTTGACTCTGATGCTGCTTGCGTGGACTACTGAGTGTACTGATGAAGTATCAACCCATGGTTTGTTTAAACTGAGGGGCTGACAACTTATTTTCTTACCTATAACTAGGCTGGTCAGCTAGCTAACAGGCTAAACTATAGCAAACAGCCTAAACAACTCCATCATTAATATCATAGTCTTTAATTTATAGTACTTAATATAAAATTGATTGTAAAACAGCAATATAAATGTCTAAAGAAAGTCACTTGAATGACTTAGTCCGTAAACAATGTGCTATGTAAGTTTTGAAATTCTAACTACTACAGCCAAATAATGCACTCTTTTTTCAGAATGAATTTGGCTCAACTCAAAATTGCTAGTTTTAGCTATATTATACACTGTTGGGGTGCGGGAGCCATTATTTATATTCCTGCATAGCGCACTATGTAGGGAGCAGGGAGCCATTTGAGGTCCAGCCCCAGCGTGGGAAGAAGGCTCACCTGCTAAATAAGACTTGTGGTGGTAACTTGGTGACTAAAAAGTACTTTTAGAGCGACGTTTTTTGCATTAAACAGTGATATGTTATGATATGACAAAAAGTTGAAAAGTTCAGTATACAGTGACCAAAACGCGCGACCAAACGTTCCTCGCTTCGCATCATACCAAGAGCCCCCATTCCTGTGATTAATCACAATAATTTAGGCTTATTGATTAATTATATGTCTGTGGAATAAACTCTTGCGTGTGTCGCGTAGCAAGAAATGGCTGTATATGTATGTTTACAGTATACAGAACCTTATACTTTGTATTTATAAAGTAGACATACTTTATTGGGGAAAAAAAATTGTTGTTCACACTGTGACTCCGTCAAGTGTCAGGTCAATAATGCATGAGACTGTGCTACTTTAAAAAAGCACTGCAATTAATAGGTTATTTGTTTTGTTTTCGTATGATCGCTGCAATCTTTTAGACTAATTTGGCAATCGTTTGACAACAGTATGCCGCATATGCTGTTTAGAAACCAATGGAGGAAAAGCGATGACAAGTTTGAAGGATGGGTGTTTTGGATATTCTTTATGGCTTTGAAAGTTGTGCTTGGACTTGGATACAATTACCATACATTGTTAAAGTTGTACAACATGTTATTGTACTATTTGTAATTATTTATATGTTTTAGTTTTGTTAATAAACATTGATTCATTTCTTCATTTTGTGACCCCCACTCTTTCATCCATTCTTTCTCCTAACCCCTGAACACATTGCAGGCACAGCAATGTTCCTTGCTTTAAATCCTGTGCCTTTAAAGTTCAACTCGTCTCTGTAGACAGAATGTGCATGAAGTAAAAGAAAATGACTCATGTGAAATTCTGATTTTACTCAGACTAATAAAGGTTGAGGTTGTTTGTTTGATTCTTGTTTTATTTAATGTTTTATGCCACGCAGCAGGTTTTAAAGCATGGAAATGTAGGATGTTGGAATGAAGTTGGGTGTGTGCTTTAGTAGTCTTGTACAGCGTAATCTGTTAATTTGCGTAGTGACAAAATAACAAAGTGAATAATCAATCTTAAACAGTCACTAAGTAGAGTATTCTTTTCATGCTCCATGCTTTTCCAAATATTGCTTATGGTACAGTGGGAGGTTTTAGATTCAGTGTCATATGGGTATCTAGGCTCTGCTACCAGTCCCAGACAGTGATTTGTGTAATATTTGCCAAGTAGAGACACGTGGCTCCCTACCATACTTAAAAAGGCTTTGGGTTAAAGACTATGTAACACTGAGTTCAGTTGAACTAGTTGTTTTGGATTGAGCTCAAGGCTGCTTTAAACTGGGCTCAGTGGTTTGCTTTCTCCCGGATGTTAGTAGTGAGTTGCTCTTGGGTGACTGACACCCCGTCATAAATAAATATTAGTTTTGTTTCTGCATCACACACTGGAGCTTTATGGATTGGTCACAGATGTGCATGCTAAAAATACAGAATGCCTTTTTTCAGATGTTGGAAAAAGGACATTTTTCTCATTTTAAAGAAACACTTTGGGGGAACGAAATGATCCTTGTTAAGCTCTTGTGACTCTTCATGAATTTCTGCACAATGGTGAGTTTGAAATGTAGACCTACTCAGAAATAAGCAGACAGGCTTGATTTGCTAACTTACAGAAAACTACTTTAACAGTGTTGTTACTGTAGAATAGATTAGCCTCTAATATCTAATAACTTTATACTGTATTAGATGAGAATGACTTGCTTCTTGCTTCAGTACCTGAAGCAAAACTGACATGATTTAGAAATATGAGGGTATGTTACAGGAATAGAATTATTTGTGTAGAATGCATACATGACCATGCTGGTGTGTTCCCAGAATTTTATGTGCTGGCAAAAATAAATACTCTTAAGACTTTAAGGGTTGGTTTCTCAGATATAAGCCTAGGGATTAAGCCTAGTCATGGACTCTGGTCATGGACTCCAGGATTAGGCTTAATCCCTGCCTGGAAAACCAACCCTAAAACTAATATCATGTTATAATTTCTACAGAAAACCTTAATACTAATTGTACTAAATATTACTAAATAATCAAAGTATTTATTTATGTATTTGTTTATTTTTACAAAATGAAAAATTAGGCCAGTAGATTGCTTTACAAAGTGCAGGTAATAAGAGTACACTCCATTTAGGAAGTGAGTTCTAGTTCTACCTTGTTGGCTTTTTTTTCAGCTAAAAGCTTATCTGTGATAATCACTGATCTTTGGCTCGGTGTGCCTCTGAGGGTATAGACATATAACTTGGGATGCCGTCTGTTGGAGCTGGAGTGGGGGACAGGTGCGGTGTATGACGGACGGTTCCACATGGCTCAGATTTATAATTTGGGATTCATACTCACTGAAGTCATTATACGGACCACCTATGTGTATGGAAGTATCAGTGTCATTCTTAATTAACTTGGATTTGCTTTATCTTACCCTCCCCCATTCGAAAAAAAAACCACTGTACTTAACTTGTTTTGCAAGTTGTCCTGTGCTGTGATATAGGTAGGTCTACTTATAGGTCCCAGGCTTTGAGTTGTGTGACAGCCTACAGCATATATTGGGACATACTTGGCAGCAGTAATCTATGGTAGGAATCTGAATGGTGCTTTAAATAAAGTTTAGCCTCAGAGTTGTTTGGATGGTATACAGAAGTGTGCAGTGATGATACTTGAGTTTATTGGCTCTGGAAACTCAAGCTAAACTTCATGGCCCATTTTTCCCTGCTACAGGAGTTGTAGAATCCAAAGCTTAAGCCCATTAAACATTTACTGTTCTCTTCTTCAGTGAGTGTGTCTTTGGGAAGAGTCACTAGAATTGGGGCACAGGCTCTATTTACTCATTGGTTTGTTTTTAAACTGTTTAGCACTGCATGGAGTCTCTCCTCATTTGCCTCTGTTCTGTTCTGTTCTGTTCTGTCTGTCAGTGGGCTCGGGTGGCCATGGACGCCTTCACCCAGCTGATCCTGCTCATCGCCGTGGTGAGTTTCTGTACCTTCCAGTGGCTCTTCCACAGCGTGAGTCCCTGGGTATCGTCCAGGATCAGCCCAGGCTTCCTGAAACTCAGCCACAAGCAGCAGATTGAGTGGAACTCGAGGTAACACACACATCAGTGACCTACAATCTCTGTGTGCTTTATTTTTCCTAGTATGTTTGTCTGTCAGGGCTTGACTTTAACGATTCCCAGTTCTAGGGTCTGATAATTACTGGAATTCAAAGCCACATGACGAGGCAATAGAAGCAGTAGAGGGCACATAAATAGGGCCACCCACACATTTGCCAATGGGCGCAGTACTGTAATTTGAATAATGAAGACAATCTACACTGATGAAACGCTGTTATTTTGTCTGCCGCATCTCCAGACTGAAAACCTCATTTTCCCACAGCTTTGCAGAGTATCTATTGCAGTGTTTTTTGAGAACCTAGGCCCAGATTAAGCTTGCCAAAAATACTTTATTTGCTTTAAGGTCATGAAACATAATGTTTTAAACATTCTTTTTCATAGTCGGGCTAAGTAGTTGATCAGAAAATATCGGAAAACCTTTATATAGACATCTAAATTGGAATAGAGTTATCCATTGCTTAATCCGAATGAAATTTCTGTCTGATCAAAAGAACTGGTGTACACCTTTTATTAATCTGTTATGAGGAACAATAATCACCATCTAAACATTCAGATCTAATCACTTTCATTAATGGGGTCTTTGCACATACTCATGCGCATTTGCGTCTTGAACAAACAAAAAAAAAATGTCCATTTTATGTTGCTAGCCATAAAAGCCATAACATTTTTTCAGAGATTGGATGACTGTAAGGTTCACAACAAAGATTTATTCAAGCAATTGTTTAAAACAATGAAAGATGGTGGGTTCTGCCAATCTGCGTCACATGTAAAATGAAAATTTCTTAGAACAGCATATTGCAAGTTAAAAATCATAATGGAGAGGTGACTCTAACCCACCCACTTTATCATTTTACAACATCATGGATGGCTTCATGGAAGAGCAACCTCACATGTTGCTGATACGGATAAAAATATCATTAATGTTGAATTAACCGACACATACAGATACATTTTGTGAGGATTAATGTGAGGATTGCAGAGTTTAGGGTACATAAAACAGTAGAAATTGGAACAGTTTCATCTGGATGGGTAAAAATCATAAAGTATGGAACTTAATGATTTAAGATCTTAATAACACCATGTATAAGTCATTAAAACAGAGCAACCATAGATTAATTAGCATATTAGAAGCATTAGCACGCTATAAAGGCTGGTGGTACACAGACTTTCAATTTTAAATTTCAACTTTTTTAATGCTATAGTCAGTATTGAATTTAAGGACATCGTTTTTGAAGGAGTTAATGAACTCAATTATGCAATAAAGCATGACCTTATTTCATCAGAGAACATGTCAACACATTTGGATTGGGTTATTTACATCACGTCTTCAGCAGTCACTGCTCTGTAACAGTTCTGTCTTTTTTGGTTTTATGTTTTAGCTTTGGCTGTAGTGTAATGTGTTTCAGTTGTGGTGCTTTTTTTCTCATAAATATCTTGTTAAGTCTGACACAGAAGAGCAAACGTTTGTCTTTCTTCCTGTGCTTTGTGTTTCCTTTTGTTTCACTTGTTAATCCATGGTAACTGCTGCTTAATGGCTTTCCACTGTGTTTAAGCCAGCCACTGCTTGAATTGACCATTTTGATTTATACCTTTGTCCTCAAATACTGGCAGGGAGAATCCGAACAGTGTCACTGGTCCTCGTCTGTGAGGAAATTGCCAAGATATCAGCTGTTCGCATATGACACTTACATGGCCATAGCGAGGCTAGACACCATAAAAGGGAAAAGGGGCATGTGATAAAAACGCTCGTTTCCTTGTTTCATCACATTTAAGCCAGTGTCTTCATACAACCTTAGAAACCTTAGGTTTAACCTTAGGTTTAACAGATTTTACGGTAAGATTAAATTCACTACTCAGAAGTTTTACAGAAGTGTTTACGTTCAGACCCTTCATTCTGTCTTTGTCTTCGGGGTAGTGATCTGCCAGTAACGCACCCTTATCACAAGCTTTGACTGTTTTCACCTTGTTTAATTGCAATTCTAATTCATCTCTAAGTGTTACAACAGATCATCGTTGTCAAAATGTTGAATAGAGGCTATGTCGTCTTTCTGCTGCTTTAAATGCTATCCTGCCAAATGTGTTAATGCGACTGAGCAATACTCTTTCTCCCAGCTGTCTCGAGACAACCAGATTACACAGAGCAGGCTGTAGACTGCCACTCAAACCAACGTGTGTGTGTGTGTGTGTGTGTGTGTGTGTGTGTGTGTGTGTGTCTGCGACAGAAAGAGAGATGAGTTGTAGATGTCTGTGGGAGATGGATGAGAAAATGATTGTGATATGTAATAAAATCAGCAAAATTCTCACCTGGTTGTTCAGACTGTAATCAGCAATGCAGTGCAGTAGTCATAGGTACTGTATTATAGGCCCTGTTCATACAGTCGTGTGCACAATTTTGGACCCCCTCATCAAATTACATGTTTTGTTGATTATCTGTGTGAAAATAAGTTAACATATCCTCTACGGAGAACACAGATGTGCACATTTTAATACACCATTACTGTTTATTTGTTGGAAATTAACATATTGGGGAAAACATATAATATGTGGTCTATGCAAAAGTTATGGCACATATTTAGGTTTTCTGTAATTAACTTAAATTCACTGAGATATGTAATATGATTTGTATATGTAATATGATTTGACCTGGGGCACCCAAAGTGACTGCACCTAGTAGGCCTGGGCGATATCTAACAGTAATTAGCTCAGTGTGTGTTTTAATAATTTTTTTTATCATAACACGTATTTAATAATATGATGGAGAGATTCAACATCTTTTACGAACTACCAGAGCCGATTTATGAGGAGCCTGGCCTCTTTCCGTTTCCCCCGTTATATCAAAAACAGCACTGCGAAATGCCAGAGGGCACCCGCGAGCGAGTCCTCAATGAATGGGGGTGAGTTGAGCTAAACAGCTTAAAATGAAAAGTTAAAAAAGAAACTATCACTTGCCCAGGCCTTTCCTGTATGTTTCCTTTTTTCTACTGCTGATTGGTTGGCGAGCAGAGCAGCTCATTGACTGTTTGTGCTCACTGACGTTATGAACGTACATGAGGCACCGTTTTTAAACTCCTATAATTGGAGTTCAAACATATGGTGTTTTGAAACATATAACGGCGGTGTTAAAATGTTTTAAGCTGTTCTGTGTTCAGAAAATGAATATTTTTTTGTATTAAAATGTTTAAGCATTTATAAACTATTATTTTGCTCAAATGCTCCATCTTAACCCATTCATTTTGGACTCGCTCAGGAGCGCCCTGTAGCGTTTGAGAAACCCGGAGGACATTACGGAGTGGTAATTCTCCTTACTGCAAGTTCTCTGGAACTACTTGATCTGTCATTATAATAAACGTTACTGCAGACACATGCATTCGTAAACATCTTCTGCGGCAGATTTGCGCGACTTGTGTGCTAACTGCTGGAGAAACTTCCATGCCCGTGCGCTTTCTGTATTAAAAACAAGGTATTTTACGTGATTACAGCAGCATTTTCATAAATCAGCTAAAAACTGGGACACTTAATCTGTACAGAAAGTACTGCACCCTGGCTGTAGATGAGGATCAGAGGCTTTGTCTCCAGGTTAGAGTTAACTTAGCTGCTCTACACTAAATTTTAGCTCAAGTTCCAAAGCATGTCGGCATTCATTTTGATTCCGTTCACATAAATTGAAGCGAATCTGTGCAGTAACTCTCTCTGTGAAACTACAGATGCACGCCACTTTTAAACATGAAACCCAGTTTCCCAACATGTTTTTCAAGCTGTTTAACGGTAAATTGGTTTTCTCTAATTCTTTCTCAGTTCTTTTAACAAAACAGCAGTTATCACCTTTTACACATCGCCATCGGGTTACTTGTCCATCACCGACGATTTCCAATTACATCCCCCTTTTGCTCAGGCCTGGTACCTAGAAATGACATTTGTCTGGAGTGATCTGATCTCCAGGTGGACCGAGAGATGTGTAGCAATTTGCACCTGACATGTGTGCTCATGATCAGATTTCAAGACTGGAGAAAGGTGCCACCTCTATTTAATATGTCAGTCTCTTAATGTAGTTGTCTTCAGACAGAAATGTGGTACGAGTTCATGTTTGTGTTTGTGTACATGTAATGACTGTTACAAATGTTTAGGCTGTATGGATCAGTGTTGACAAATTGATCGAAGTTTAGTTGGATTTGGCGGGTGAAGGAGTGCTTTTCATGGTTTTGGCAGGCTTTAAAAAATGTTAAATTACTAAACTGAACTACTTAAAAATGCATGCATTTGAAAAGGCCTAACATCTTAGTCAATCATGACACTCAAGAGGGCATTGCTCCGCCTATCTGCCTCAGTTACATCAGTGTTTAGTGTACCCAGAGTATTACTGATGTAAGGGATGTGTGTTTGGGCTGAGCATGACATAGGTTACCCAATTCACATGGCATTACTCATGGTACATAGTTCTATAGTTGGAAACTGGAATGGTCCATGATCTGTTTGACACAGGCATAAAAAAATGTACATAAAAAAATGTTAATGTTAAAATTGTAGTATACTGACGGGTTGGACAGCATGTGGTGTTTGTGCACACACTTCCTCACATGTCAACATCCAAATCAAATAATTTATTATTTATTATTTTTTAGTTCTTTGTAGCAGTGATAAACCTTTAACACATTTGTTGAAGACCATTAGTGCCATCTAGTGACAATTTAAATATTTATCTACTAATTTTTGAAGGTAAGACACCAGCGGTTAACATGCTCAGACACTTATTGTTGATGTCATGTTGGACAATTGCTATATTATTTTGTATTATGGCTAAAATTACATTTTTAAATGTGTACCTTTTTAAAGCATTTTGGTGGCTTTTGATTTTTTTTGGCTAAAAGCTATAGAAGCAACCTGGTGTGCACTGCTAAAAAAAAAAGCAAACAAGAGAGGAGACAAAAAAAGAAGCTACATTGCTGAATTTGTCTCTAATGTGGTGACGCATTTACCCTTCCTTGTTCCTGAGTCGCATCAGAACTCTTTAGTGTTCACATCACAAATGTTGTGTGATGACATGCATCCATGAACACCTCCAAATGTGGAGTAAATGACTGCATCACAGTGCATTTTCAAGACACATTGGATCCTTTGGATTGTTCACACATGTACTTAAGATGTTGTTTTGCTTATGTGTGTTTTGTCTCATTTGTTTCTCTAGAACGGTGTCCACACTCCATGCGATTCTGGTTGGGCTCTTCTGCCTCTACATCCTCTGCTTCGATGAGGCTGTCAATCAGGACCCTGTGTGGTGAGAGCACTCTGCTGTCAGGCCTGGACTGTCATACTGCATGCAGAGAACGCTGCAGCATGCTCTTAGTCACTCTCACCACCGAGCTGTAGCCCTAACTCATTTGCCATGTCTTTAACCCTACAGGGGAGATCCTACACTGGTGAAGATAAACGTGGGAATAACAACAGGCTACCTCATATCTGGTGAGAGTTCACTCATATGCTGTTTGACTAGATGACGAGGACTGGCTTCAGTACAATCTGAAAACTCTGTGAAGTGCAGTCTGAAAACACATAGCTTTATTTTATTTTATGATTTTCTCTTAAAGATGAAAGGACTGTTTTTCTGACGGTGACAGTTTTGGTTGTGTACCTGGTCTTGCATGATTGTTAGGATTTCCATTTCCTATCCCTTTTTTTATTTTTTTGACTCCAGTTTTGGAAATTCCTGTTTTGTCCCACTTCCTTATCTAATTTCCTCAGACGTATGTAATGAAACATAAATACTTGTGTTAAAAAAATGAATACTGCATTTATTTGAAACAGGACCTGACTGTATATGACATTCTAGTCAAGTGTATTTCATGTAAAAATAAGAATCTTGACTGACTGACTGATTGCTAAGTTGTTTGCTCTCTTCATCTTGCCCTGTCCTTTCTCTTTTTCAGATCTGCTGCTCATATTTTACTATTGGAGGGCGATAGGGGACAAGTTTTTTGTAGTTCATCACCTGGCAGCATTGTATGCTTACTACTATGTACTGGTGAGTTCCCTATTGTCCAATAGCAGAATGTGCAGGCAAGATGGGAAAGAGACGGCCAAGGGTGAACAGCCGTGCCGCTCAATCGAAAGCTGTGGCCTGAGAGGTGTGAAGCTGCTGTTAAAAGCTCTCTGTTCTCCACTAACACTTTGAAGCGTTACCAGCTGGAGTGTGCATGAACACGAACATGGTGCTAATTCAGTGTAGTGCATGAGAATCAGGCTGCTCTGTCTCACTGATCTGCTACTCTTACAAAAGGTAGATCGCTGCTCCGGAGTAGAATTAGTTTGAAATGTTAGGCTTTAGTCAAAGGGTACTTTGTGGTGTTTCAGTGACTCTGACAATGAGATTTTCACACTAACCCCCACCTCTCAGATAAAATATTCTTAGACTTACCGGGCCTGCCGCATTAATAGCTGCCTGACTGTAGAGCAGGATGAAAGAAAGCAGCAGTTTTCAGATTAGGGATGTGCATTCTGAATAATTTTAATATTGGGCTAACTGTAAAGCTGGCGGTATACATCAAATGACAAAAGGACTAAATGAAACCAAACTACTGTAGGCTTTGCTATTTGGGTGACTGTTGTTGAACAAAATTAGCAGCATGCAGAGATATACATTGTTTGTTTTATTTTTTGTTTTATTATTCAAAAATAGCCATAGGAGATCTTTGGTTTTATGTCAGATGAGTAACATAGACTGCTTCAGATTAGCTATCAAGTTACTAATGCTAATGGCTACTACCTTGAATGTTGATGGGGACTCGTTATCTTCTCCTCAGTGGCTGATGTGGCATGATTTTTTTAGAAAAATATATTTCCGATGTTTCTGGAACGAGCTAACATCAGCTATAATAGCTGTCCTAGTTAACGATAAAGCTGTGCTATCTGTACTTTCTCAGTCACAACCTGCTCTTTAAGACAGTTGTGGTTTGGAGTAGTGAAGTGTAATACACTATGTATATTTACCTACGAATATGAGCAAACTTCCCAGATATCATGGTGCTGTTAAAATATAAAATATGTGTTTCACTGAATTGTTGACCAGTATATTTTCTCCACTTTCCCATGATGAAACATAACAAATGCCCAAATAGCATTTTCAGTATTAGAATACTGGCACCTCAAATGATTAATTGAGTGCCTGATTATCTGTGCACATCCCTAATTCACATATGGTCCTGGAGGGCTAGTGTCCAGTACACATGATTTCCCTGTTTGAACACAACATAAAGCACAACTGGTTCAACTGATCTGTAATTTTCCAGCTTTAACAGGGAAATCACCAAACTATGTTGGATACCAGTCTTACTGGACTGGAACTGAATACCCCTTAAGGAGAAGGTATAGTAGGAGTTGCTTTCCCTTACAAAAGTCTGTACTTACCTCTAATTAATTTTTCACGGCCACACACACTGAAGGCCGCTGCTGTTCACCTTTGGCTTTGTTGGTCTGTAACTCTCTACATGGCCAGATTTTTTTAGCTCACTATGGCTATGATGACAATGGTATTTTTTGCATGGAATGCTCATTGATGGTAATGGCGGAAGCCCCTGTCCCCCGTCCCCTTCCCCCTCCACCCTGCTTCTCTTTCATGGTGCCCTCAATAAGTGGTCCTGCTCTGTGCTGAGCCGGGCCGGGCTGGGTGCATGCAGAACCAGCTCACAGCTCTAGTGCTGCTGCTGGTGGAGGGGCTGCATGCTCTGATTACCTTCCTCTCCTTTGTGCCAGAGCTGAGCTCTCTATTTATCTTTTTCTCTCTTTCACTCTTTCTCTTTCCCTCTCTCTCGTGCGCATTCTCTCTGTCTTTCACTCTTTTCTTCTGCATCTCTTTCAAAACCTAATAGCCACATCCTGGCAGGCAGGGCTGATGGTAGCCTGAAATAATCTCAGATCACTTTGCTTTAGTTTTTGAAAAATGGATGCAGTTCATGAGGAGATTCATTGCTTCTTTGTCTGCTCTGGAGAGAATGCACTGCCAAGCTTTATTTGGATGCTGTGTGATCCGCACTTACAGTATGGGTTTGAATTTGACTTGCCATGCGTTTCGCCAACTGCCCAAACTCAAAATTGGCACGGAATTTGCATTATGTTTTCAGTTCAGGGGAAAAAAACTAAAACATATGACTGTGGTTGAAAACCGGCTTGGCATTACTGAACTGTCAGGTCACCTGAACAAAAATGTTAAGCAGCAATATTGAATTCTAATCCGACATGCAGTAAACAGCATGAGAGGAAATGCTTAGTCTGTCAGAAACGACTCGCTCAAAATAAGGAGTGCTCAGCTCTGTGGCATAATGGTTTTGCTTTTCATCAGTTGTTCCTAGGGAGGATTAAAAGTTCTGTTTATAGAAAGCAGCAGAGCATAAATATTGGTAGGTAAAAATATGCTAATGTGGTGATCTACATATGACTCCAAATACATTCTAAAAATCTGAAAATCCTCCAGAAACATCAAGTGAATGTTGTTGTAGGGCCATACTGTCACTGGACACTTTCATGACTGCCAACTCAAACCAAGTAGAACATGAAAATTCCAAAATGAGATTAGAATGGATTCAACATCAAGCTTTTAGTCTCTCGACTTTGTTTCATACCTGTTGTTATGAGTAAATTTGTTGTTCGAAAAGTCATAAGCGTTATTTGTTGTTACTGTTTCCTGTGTTATTTATAAGAGCTTGTCAGTGTTACAGATATGCAAACTGGCATAAGACTGATTTTTATGTATTTATTTGATTTTGTAACTGCACAGAAGGCAGGTACTTATTGATAATTATTTACTCCATGCTGTTATTGTCAAATGTTAACCATAAATGATTATATTTTTACGAGACAGAGTACATCTTGGATATGTCTGGTGTACATGTAATTATTATGGATCATCTTGATGACCAGATTCAAAATTGAATCACAGGCGCATCATGGCCTATAAAGGGCTAGTGTCCTGTTAGCTACTAAAAGTTCTTAGTGTATATGTGTGTGTTGTGTGATTTTAATCCATAGTGCATGTCCAACAAAACCTAAATGTTGGTGTTGCAGCTTTTCTGTTGTTGTTTTTGCTTTCGATCTGCTCCTTTTTTTCAAGAATCTGTCTGTCTGTCTCTGTCCTCACCTAACATGACTTCTTGAATAATGCAGTCCCACTTCTTCTGACCAACAAACCCTTCATGCAAAAACTACCAGAGCTAAGTTAGTTGGTTTTTTAAGTAAAAGGGGCCAGGCTTGAATGTAGATGGACTCCTTCCTGTCTTGTCTGCTGTTGTGCTGTTGCAGAACACTGAGCAGCTATGAAGCCCAGTTACAGTATGGACTTACCAGTGCCTAGGGGTACTAGCATGCATATGCTGGTGTTTCTCTGTTTCCTCCTATTTTTTCTCTTTGTCTGTGTCCGTTGTTCAGTAAGTATTATAACCACTGCACTTCTTTTCAGCTTCCAAGGTAAGTGTGCTATTCATATTTGCCAGTGTTTGGCAGGAATGAAAGGGTGAGCACAGACACAGGTAGCAGGAGACTTCCTGGAATGCCATGTGTTACTAGCCAAAAGTGCTGAAAAGTTCTAATATTTTAATTTCTCTTAATCACAACCGACTCGCCAAAGAATGCCTGTTTATGTTAAGGAAAAATACTGAGCTATGAGAATTGTTCTGTACCTAATCAAATTTGAAGTACAATAAAATACTTGAGATGGGCTGGTTTATATGGTGGCCTAAACTCAAACTATATTTTCTTAAGTCAGGCTTTTGCTCAAGTGAATAACGGGCTAAAAAATTTGCCATTAAACCTTATTATTCTCAAATTTCTTAGAAATTTAACAGCTAAATCAGCAGATATATATATATATATATATATATATATATATATATATATATATATATATATATATATATATATATATATATATATATAAAATATAAAATATACTTCTGATGAAACATCCAGAGGACAGAGTAGAATTTTTTACAGCAGGTACTTAATGCCCCATGTGGTTCTTATAGCCTATAAGAATATGTCTTATGGGTCTTAGCACGTTTCTGATACGTTTGATTAGTCAAACTAGCGATGGGTAACAGACAACATATTTGCTAAAGTATAGCAACAGTATTCAAGTACAACACACGTGTAGCTAATACAGATGAAACAAAAACAGCCCATTGCCAAATTGCATATTTGGAGCAGTAATTGGTTGATTCCAATCCTGGCTGATTCTGATTGTGCACCCTTAATTTTTGGCTTCTTATAATGATTTGCTTAAATGTATGTTAGCTTACTTTTGTAGTTTGTTACTGTGAAACAGTTTAAGGGCTTGGGAAGAATTTAGTGTACTGGACAAACTTCACTTCAGCTGCTTATATCCAGCTGCTGTAGTAATGTGGTATGAAGGCAGAGAGTATTTGAGAGCTCATGCACAAAAGAATGTGAGGCAGCAACTCAAATGACATTCTTTTGCATTACATGTGCAGTTGGTACATAAAAAAGGTTAAATGTTGCTTAAAGTTTATTTTAAATTTACTTGATTCAAAAATGTGTACACTGGCTCCACATGAATAAAATGTTGACATTGACATAATTATCTGTAAGTACGTGTCTTATTTAATTTAGGTTAATGTAACGTATTTCTTTTGTGTGGAACCAGTGTACACATTTGAATCAAGTGTGAAATACAATAGTTTTCTGCCTGTTTTGTATGTCGATTTTCCTACAGCAGCAGTATGACACATTGTCACAACTTCTTGTATGTTATGTGAAGCCCCTGTGTTCTCAAAGATTTTTCATTTTGTATTGATGAATGTCAAATAATTTCAGTGAATGTTGTTTTGAAAGACATTTTGAAAATGTGAAATATTGGTAAAATTAATAAGCCAACACAATAGAATTTATGTGGTATAATGTTGGAAAGGATTACAGTATACGTGAAGTACAGTAACATAGTCTGAATTGTTGATGAAACCCATTTTTTCTTTTAACTGTGCTGGTTTATTTCTGCCTTTTGTATAGATGGTTTACAAATACCTCCCCCAGACTGTTGAATGTGAATGAGTTTTGTTGTTTGGCACAAAGTGGAATTCTGTGGACCTATTACCTGAGCTTTACTTAAGCTTGGATCGCCTTATCTTAATTATTTATATTACACAGGTCATCATAAAAGTTGTGTGTTGACTACAGTATGGTTTATAGTATATGTCTCAGGTCTTCTCAAATAAAGGCAGACGAGAGTGAGCTAAATATAGACAGAAAAGCTGCCAGCTAAATTTCCCTCCTAGGGATTTTAAACTTTTTTTGATCTGAAAATAAGTCCCATATTTATTAAGCAAGTTTAAATATGAAACTGTGCCCATTCAAATCATCTTCTTAATATCCACAGCTCTTGTTCAGTAAAATTGCTGAATTCTCAAGGGAGGTTCTCAGTAGAATCAGGACGTCAGGAAGCATCCAAGCAGCATTTCATTTGGGTTTCTTTGAAAATAAACTTCTTAATATGTCGCTGTTGTTGGAAGAAAACCTTGTATCTCCAAAATGATGACTTTACAGGAGAAGGAAAAAACCTACTTTACTTTTAATATAAGTCAATAGAACCAGACTTTTTTCCAAGTTATTTTTGACCATTTCTTTTAGTCCATTCATCATGAAATTTACATACAATGCAAAGGGCAACATGCATTTTCATATTATGTCAAAAACTGAAAAATAACAAAAGTGGAGATGCGAGGTTTTCTTCTGACAACAGCGAGGTGCTCATGTGGACATGATGGGAGTTTGGCTATGTATCATTTTATTTTGTCTGTCATTGTTTTTTCTTCACTTTTGCTCTTCCAGGGCCAAGGAATGTTGCCTTATTTTGCTAACTTCCGTCTGCTTGCAGAGTTTTCCACCCCATGTGTGAACCAGCGGTAGGTTTTCTGCTGCTTCCATTAAGAAACTTGCAGGATGTTTTTAGCTTGATTACACAGAGTAGCTTGATTTTAAATCTAAGATTATTGCTTACTGCATACTGTACTTTGATTAACTATATAATTCTGAAGGCATATGTACAGTCTGTACCATTTAAAACTGTTTCATCTGAAGGAAGTTCTTGTGCTCTGTCACGTCAGTGTGCTCGCCTATGTTTTGCAGCTGGTTCTTTGAAGTGTTAGGTTACCCTAAAACCTCCAGACCCAACATTGCCAATGGGGTGCTGATGGCGGCTGTGTTTTTCATGGTACGGATCGCGGTCATGCCTGTTTACTACAGCCGTATGTACTCTGTATATGGCACGGAGGCCTTCTACCGCGTCTCCTTTGGCGGTCGCAGTGCCTGGATCTTCTCTAGCATCTGTTTGGACATCATGAACATCATGTGGATGCATAAGATCGCTCGTGGCTGCTACAGGGTCCTGCGCTCTAGCCAACGGCTCAAAGCCCAGACTCAAGAGAATGGAAAAACTGACTAAGCATGATGAAACATTCACTCTCTGCAGTGGGGGGAATTCGAGGAAGTCTCTTTCTCTCTCCGTGCACTCTTGACTTTCCCAGTGACAGTTTGTGAGTCAGTCAGCCAGCAGAAGCGTGCTGCTGCCGAACGTTTTGAACTGTCCTCCTCTCTCTCTGAGGCCAAGCAGGGAAATGAGGCTAGACATCTTGTGACAGCAGAGGGAAGCAACTACCCCTGAGCAATACTTACAGTACATGGCCAACACTTTGAGTAAGCTTCACGCTGTAACAGGACCACTGATGTCACATTGAGCTGACCACTGCTGGTAAAGACACTGAGGTCATGACCCACAGCGCCTGTAAGCACTGGGGTACAAAAAATGCTGTACAGCCGCTGAAGCACCAGGATTTTTATTTTGATTTTATTTGATTTATATGTATTTTTGAAAGCCTGAGGCTTTGATTTTAACCTTCATTTGTTAGTTCTTGATAAGAGGACCACGGCGTTGTGAAAAAGTGTGCCACATGCTTCTAATTTATTCATCAAAGCCAGAGCCTGTCTGAAAAGAGGGCAAAAAAATGTTCAGAGTGTCATAGGGCCATCATGTTTACTTTGAAGTTAAACTTTATACGCTGACTGTGAGAGATTCGTCCTCTCACCTGCACTGCACTAAACCAGGACTCGCTCAGATCACATGCCGTACCTGAACAGGACCCAAGATGCCGTCTACATGTCAGAAAGAGGCTGAGAAGGTGTAACTGTGAACCTGCACGCACATTTTAAATTGACATGAAGTATTTTATACTGAGATTGTAGTGATCAAGAAGAACTTTGCTGGTGTGCCGGATACACTGCAGATTTTTTGCAGGCAAAATCATGTCAGAAGGGATTTTATGTAATGTTTGCTAGGTAGCCGAGATGTTTTTCACCTCAGATTTGATTCGTAGACTTAAGGCGTAATCGGACAGTTTCTCACTCCACTCTGCCGTGATGATTTCAAGGTGGTTTTTGATTTTAAGTATGAAATCGGGATGCGGTTTACAAACAAACAACATTTTGAAGGTCTCTCCGCAACACGGCTTCATCTGTGTCCTCTTTGTACAGTCGATAGGTGCATGCTGCAGTGTGGTTCTCTGAATGTTTGCATTGTAGATAGAAACTGGACATACAAAAATACTCATTTGAATTAATTTTGTGTACAGTGTAATCCAGTCAATATAGAACATAAATGATCTAATATTTTGGATTTTTTTTTAAGGATGTCTGTGTGTTACGATTAGGGATGGTAGAACTTCCTTGTGTGCTCAAACAAAAGCAAGAATTGAGAACTTTTTCTGCATCATACCTTATTTATTTGAACCAGTCCAGCACTGGAACAGCATGTACCTGCATATTTATTCTTTTTAAAGGAAATGTATGATATACGGATAAAAGGTGTTTATCTAAGTAGATATATACAGAATCAAGAAGGAGTCTACGACACAAGGACATATATTACAATCATTTTAGGCTGCATTATGTGTCACTTTGTAGGACATTTTAGTGTAGAATGTTCATACTATACGCACTCTTGCATCCAATGGCAACTCACCTTCACAAATAATAGAAGTAGTGGATGCCACAAGTTGTTGTCTGTTTTATTAACTGAAAAAAAGTATTTATTATGTATGGATGTGAGAAGGACGATGTGAGATTTACAAGAATGGTTTGCTCTTTTAAAAATTGCCAGAAGTTCTATTTTTTAATGAATATACTACTTGAATCCTTGCTCTACCTTATTGTGAAAGGCAGACACAGTGAATTCTTTTAATTACAGTATGTGCAAGATGATTCCAGTCGTAACATTTTGCCTTTACTTGTTTTGCAGACATTTGTTCCAGATGCCTTTTCTAGGAATGTTTCTTTACTATTTTTACCACTTTCCATTCATGTAAGGTTATCATATCTTTATGGTTTTCATTATGTTTGCATGTCTTTTTTTCTGCTTGCCATAGGCCTAATGTAGGAACATTGACCTTAACGTTTGCCTTTTTATTTTTGTTTGTATTGTTTAGTTTGAATTTGCATCAATTCAGGTACACCAGCATAAGGCAAGTCTTAACATGATTTTAAAGCCTCACCAAATTACCACAGGTTACCCCTCTATTACACATTTAGAAGCCATTGTTCCTGATTCTTCCTTTCCTTGTTGTCTTATAAAACATTAAATGTGTTCTTTATTGTTTCTTTATTGATCTTTTCTTTTTAAAGAGCTTAGTGGGAGTTGGGCTGTTTAACAGTCAAATTTAAGTCCGTGTCTTCAGGTGAAACTTGAGTGTGTGTTTAATTACTCTGAGAATGAAACCTCCAAACGTGGGCTATAAATCGATATAAAAAGGTTTGTAATTTGTTTTTCTGCTTTGGGGATATTAATTATTACATCTTAAATTCTGGATTTTATTGTGTAATTCTTGATGCTCCATTCATTTAGCTCTTGGAATTAAGTCCAGTAACTTCATGGAAAAACACCTAAACATGTTTGTGTGTGTTAGCCTGGCTGATGAGCTGTTTTGCTGCCGGATTAAGCTCCATGGAGCAAACAGTCTCAGCATGAGGTCAGGTATGCCCGGCTACCTCTGTATCACTTTTTTCTCATGTTCACTTCCCTTTTCTTCATATTTCACTTAAGGTTTCTACAGTTGTAATAGTTTGTATCTGTTAACCAAAGTGTGTAGAAGAGTTTTATGCTCACATACTCATTGATAAGGGATTAATGAAGAAGGACCAGGAATTTATGAACGTCAAATCTATTTTTTAAATCTTCACGTCTGTCTTAATTTTCTGTCATAATGCCATTTGCCTCAATAAAGCAATATGTTAATTTTGTTTCAGTAAAATCTTGTCTCTAATGGTGATTGTCAGCATCATTACTGCTTTTTCTGATATACTGGTGATACTGACTTTCCACTTTTTGTGCAGTGTAGTTCTTCACATAACATGCATGCATGCGCACGTATGTATCTATGTATGTATGTGTATATATATATATATATATGTGTGTGTGTGTGTGTGTGTGTGTGTGTGTGTGTGTGTGTGTATATATATATTTAGTTTTAACAGGTTTTTCAAACAGTTTTTTATGTAGCGACAGGGCACATGGCTGCCATGTCAGAGGAGTAATATTTCAGTGGTGAGAAATGTAAGTACTTTGACCACTCTCTAAACCTACTATGACGGATTTGAGAGGGAGCCCTAGTGAGTTTAATAAAGCTATATCCCAAATGTCCTGTTTGTGAGAAGTCCTAAACGATAGACCCTGATAATACCACTGTTTCTTCACACATGCTGAAGAAGATTTTGTCCAGCAACATACAAAAAAAAACGTGGTAATGCAGGGGGCTGAATGCCAACCTTCAGAAAAACGGGTAATGTCAGAAGTATGGGGTTTCTGGAGCCAACTTTTTGAGTTCAGGATGCAATATAAAAACCTCAGCTTTTTGCGTAGGTTGGTGCGGAGCTCTGGGACTTTTTCTTTAGTTCGGTTTTACATGCAAAACTTCAGAGATGTTGGCTAACACATATCTCTATCTGAGGCTGCACCTACCAAAGCAGCATCAAAACAAACACTGACACTGCTCATGATCAGGTTCAGAGGTGTGCCTAAACCAGTACCTAAGTAAAAGTGTTGATACTTGCAAAAAATAATTAAGTCAAAGAACCTTTCCCAAAATAACTTGAGTAGAAAAACAAAAGAAGCAGGTTGAAAATCTATTGAGGTACTGAATAGTGCAGTGGAACTTCTTACTACATTTATCAGTACAAGAAATGAAGATTGTGCAGCTCTGTTCTTTTCTTTTTGGGATTCTTTTGGTTTAAAATACAAAGCTCCAAAGTAAGAAATGTAACCAACCACAAAGAAGTACAAATATTGCCACCATCAAAACATACTGAAGTTTAAAAACAAAAAAAATGGAATTAGTAAATAAATATGAATGGCTAAAATGTAACAGCGTAAAAAAGATTCCTTTACTTATGTTAGTAGAAGTAATATGGTTTGAAAATACTCAAGTAAAAATGCATCAATATTTTACATGAGTACATGTACTTGAGTAAATGTAATTAGTTACAACCCACCTCTAAACAGGTTTATAAAGACGTGTCATGCTAATTGAAAGGCAATTTTAGTCAGTGGCCTAATTGCATTGTCATTTTTTTTTTTTGAAACAATATGTTTTGCCCCACCTCTTTTGGAGGTGTGGTGCCACCCCTGAATACAACATGTTTTCAAAACGTTTCAGAATCATTATTTCTGTGACGTTACAGTCTAACCTACTTGGAACCTTTTCAAAACATTGCTAAACATTGTCGTGATGTTCTGTTAGTTGGGGAGAGGCCCTGTATTACTGAGATTGTATCATGGAGAAGGGTGTTCTTAGGCACAACGTGAAGCAGAAACCATGGACTGTATATGAGTGGACAGTACGGCTGTGTCTGAAATGGCAGACTTCCATGCTACATAGTACGCCAAAGCAGCCCTCAAGAATAGCTAGCGAAAGTAATCACAACTCTTTTATTGCACAGGCATGTTTTTTATTTAAGTTCAGGTTAGAAATGATGAAATTAACTGAGAAAAAAGTCAAATAAACAGACTGAAGAACAGAAGATGCCCATTTGGTGGAGTTGGGAGATGGTTGGCGGTCTTCCTCCTGCCAGCGCTTGTGTCCTAAATAAATAAATAATGTTCATAAGACATCAATTAAAACAACACGAGTAAAACCTAGAGTAAAGATTTTGCGTTGAGTCTGCTTGTGCTCTAGAATGGCTGTGTACTAAGTTGTGTGTACTTAGAATGGCTAAGTTGTACATACCTGTGTTGTAGAACTCTTTTCCTGCACAGGTGTGTTCTTATAAAAGGTTCAGTTTAGAAAGGATGTAATACAGAAGATAAACATAAACTGAGGAAAAGAATAAAACAAAAAGACTGAGGAACAGAAGAGGCGCGTTTGACGGAGTTGCAAGATGTTCGGTGTTCTTCCTCCTGCCAGCGCTGGCATCCTCATACTCTTTGGTCAGCTTCTTACAGCCAGAGGCTTCTGTCTTGGTACGAAGTGTGAAGGTTCTGGTGTGCAGATCTCTGAGATGGGACAGTCAAGGTCTCGGTTCGCGCAGGTCAGGACTGACGGCTGGGTTTGTGCTTTTGTTCCAGCTCTGTTCTCTTCCACCACTGAAGGGGAGTCTCGGGGTCCTGTTCAGCTTTTCCACAAGGCTTCTAGTTGACTCCAACAAACTGGCCCTGTCGTGAAGGTCGCTGTGGTTGGATGGTCTAGGAATTGGGTGCAGGTCAGCTGTGAAAGTTACTTTCCTGCATTTTTCCGTTCCGTTTTTAACAGAGCTTATGGGCGCCCGCTTGTGGCCATTAGTGGACGTCTGGCTGCGTGGAGAAGACCTGTGTCGTCATTTTGTCCAATAACGTCATTCCACACCAGGGTTTTCACACCTCTGTCGTCATTTCGCCCAGTAATGTCCTTTTCTTTCTCGTTCCGTAACTGAGTGTGCACGCCTGTGTCGTTACTTCATCCAGTAACGTCCTTTCCGTTCTCATTACATCCATTTTTTACGGTTCCTGATTTGCTGAACAGTCCAAGGGCTCTCTTGAAGATTTCTTTGGCCCCTTTTTGAGTTTCAGCATTCGTGAAGTCTGGTTCCGGACATACAGGGTTCTGTTGCAGTCCTCCTCATGTTCCCGAAGCGCCACCTCTGTAGCAGCTCAGGAGAAGAACCATGCGCAGCAGGCTGACCACCACTTGGCCCTTCTCCTTCTTCTTCTTCTCCTTCTTCCTCCATTCATTCATGTTTCTCGAACGATCTCGAGTTGATTTAAATGAAGCTTGTGAAGTAAATGCAAACAGCTCAAGCGTCAAACTTGAAATAAAACAAAAAGCACTGAGTTCGGGGTTGTATAGGCTTCGCCTTTGTGAAGTCACAATGGGGCGTTGCATTTCGCGAGCGGTTGCTGTGACATCATAGGGGGCGTGGCACTCCGCTCACGTCAGGTGTATTTCGTGCGTTGTGACGTCACCGTCGTCTGATTGGCTGAGCTTGCTGTACACACTGAATATGAAATTTGAACCCTTATTGTAACTCTCATGTACAAAATAAAATCCTCATTTAGAAATGCAGCTTCAGCAGCTCAAACAGAAGTAATTAATTACTCAAAAAATAAAATATGAACAGTCTAACAAAAGTGAAAGTTAATTTTATTACTGTAACAGAGCTGGACAAGTTAGGGTCTGCTTACAAAATGCAAGAATAACAGCCCACATTAAAAATATATCAACTTTTGGTTGTTTATCGAGCTAAATCTGAGTCACCAGCAGTGAGCAGCTAGACAAAGCTAAACAAATTATTATTATTATTATTATTATTATTATTATTATAAGTTACTGTGTTATATGTCTCATTTTTATTATTGTGCTTGCGTTTTTAAGTGTTTTTTTGTCTCTTGTCAGTCCACTATTGTTTGGCCTGTCTGGTTAAATTAAGAAATTAAGATGTAAATAATAAAAAATACATAAATAAATATAAAATATATTAATAAGCAACCAATAAAACTGAAAAGATTGAAAGATTAAGAAAGTGTTGAAGATTGAAACTCAGCCAAATGGAGGGAATGACAGGAAGAAAGAATGAAAGAGAAGGAAAAAAATGAAATGAAAGAAGTAAGGATGAAAAGAAGATGGAAAGAATGAAAAGAGGAACAATAATGAAACAATCAAGAACGAATGAAAGAAAGAAGAAAATAATGAAAGGAAGAATGAAATGAGAGAGGAAATAACAAAAGAATAGAGAAAATAAATGACGAAAGAATGAAATGAATGAGGAACGGATGAAAAGAAGAAGGAAAGAATCAACAGAAGAGGGAAATAATGAAAGGAAGAATATGGAGTTCATTTTGTGCCAAAATGTTTGAGAGAAGATCCTGATGTTTGAGCCTTCGGATTTGCTCAACAAAACACTCTGTTTCTTTCAAAACTTGAAAATCCGCACAACAGTGCATCCCATTCAGAACTCGTACCTGCAAAACACTGGAACAAACTGGAAAACTTGCTCAATCGTGCTCTTCACCTTCAAAACTCGTACGCGCGCGCAAATCATTTCTGCTCTCAGCTCCACAGCGCGCTCTTAAGTTTCACCAGAGAACTTGTAGAAATAATATAAATAAACAAGTAAATAATAAATAAATAAATAGATAAACCGGCTCTGGTTTCATGTCTGCTCGCTGTAAAATGTCTGAACGTTTGTGTCAAAACTCCAGCCAATCAGAGCTGTCGAGGGGCGGTTCCTGCCAGCGCACCAATCATGGCATCGTTTCTTAAGCAGCTTTATGCCAAATAGTCAAAGTACGTTCGTGGCTGTGGTATTGAGTCGGCTAGTGTGCTTGTAGCCTCGACATTAGCTAGATGGTTTCTAGCTTTCTAGTATCAAATTCATAGAAGTGAATTCTCAGTAATACTCTGTCATAAATAATAACGTATTAATCTAACTTACATTGGTAGGTAGCTAGGCCATTTGTTTCCTACCAGAGGCCTAACGTTAGCTAACTTCAAATAGCTTAACATTAATCAACTAAGCTGACATTAGCAAGGTTTCTTTGTAGCTAACAATGTCTGACAGTATTCTGTTGAAAAGTCTTAACTCTCTTATAACGCTTGTCTTCGTAGGCTCATCTTGTTAATCCTGTATATTTATCTTGTATAATTACGTCATAAAAAAACAATACTGATGCCGTTCCCTCAGAACTAACGCGCTAACCCGAGCTAATGCTCTAGCTTGGAGTTAAAGTGCTAACCGCGAGCTAACGTTAGCTAACAACTCTGAGCATTTAAAAGAAATAGCCTGTGCTTTTCAAGTCTTTAGCCATAATGGTACAGGGCTTTTAGCGTACATGGTACAGTTAGCGGTTAGCATGTTTGCTCTGGGCTAGCGCGTTGTCTTGTGACAGCAGTAACGTGTCCTCTCATCTGTACACACATCATCCTTCTGTCTAAATCAGTAAAACTAGAGCACAGTTTAAAAACGGGTGCTGTGGTTGTTAAACTGAGGCGATATTCCCTGGTTCATATAAGGCTACGTTGTCAGGAGTGCTTTACATTAGTTCAGCCTGTAAGTGGCTTAATTTATGGGTTTCTTAATGTTTGTCAGAACAAAAACTTTCTTGTTCACAGATCTTGCAGTTGTGGAGTTTTTGCCTCATAATTCATAATTTCTAAAGTAAACCCATCTGTGCCAGACAAGCTGTTATTGGAGCTCTGTGACTGCTTTCAGCGGAGCAACTTCCAAAGAGCAGGTTCAGTCTGCAGAGGGATCTGATAGAAATGCTGATGGTGGTGTTATTCCAGATTGTCAGGTAAAGTGGTTTGTTGTAAAGTTTGACCCAAAAACGTATCTGGAAATCAGTTAAAGAAGTAGCTAAATGTTAGCTGATTGCTTTTCCTCTTTTCTAAGGCATCAGGAAGTGGACAGGTTTTGACTGATGTAAACCTAGCAGTGTTTATATATGATAAGTTTTTACCTTTGAACAACTAATTTGATAACTATATTTTATCATTCTTATTATTAAGGTTGCTGAATAACTCACTATCTATTATTTTAATTAGATCTTTGAAAAACAAATTATTTCAAACTTGTTACTTATATTATGATAGGATATATAATTGACAGAAAACATACTATGATTATTATATTACCTAAATTACTCTCTTGCTTCAAATTGTTCGGTTCAAATTGTTTTTTTTTTTTATTTTATTTATTCATTTATTTATTTTTTGCTTGTTTTTAACTTTAACTTAACTAAGCCATTGTATGAGGTTCATCTACAGTAGACCAAAACATTTCTGTTTTGTGTATTTGCTTTTGTGCATTAATTTATTTTTTACCTTTGAAAATGTTTAATTTTAATGCACAATAAGCAATTTGACTACATTCTGAATGTTTTTGCTTTTTGTTTTGTTTAAGGGATTCTGCACTGGTGAAAATGAATGCATGTAAAACAAAGCAAGATGTCAGATTTAGCCTGTACGTCAGTGGCCTCTCCACTCAAGAGATTTTCGTCCACCATGGCTTAAAATTTGTGCAGAAATATTGTGACATATATTTATTAATGTGGAAAACATAGTACACTCTGACCCAAGGCATTTGGTCTGCGGAATGGCCAGCTGCATAAGTCCTTAAAGATGTACACGCAAAGACTACAGACAATGACCTATCACAGAGATGAAGGCTCTTTTCTTCATTCAGGTACTGTTTTTATTTATTTAACTAAAATCAAAATGGAGTTTTCGTTCTGAAACGTATTGGTTTATTAAAAAGTAATTATTAATATTTTGCATGTTCTGCAAAAAAATGAGTATTGCATACTCAGGGCCACATCTCGGCCTGGGACCAAGGTGGATACATAAGTGTAAATGGTCCACAGATCTGGACCACAGCCATTAAACTTATACATTTTACAGTATCTGGGCCAGATCCCTTTGTTCTACTCACACAGTGTGAGAGCCAGAGCAAGGCCACATCCATTAGTTCTTGTCATTTTACAATATATGGAAAAAAACAACGATGTGGCTCACAAGTGGGCCTGATAATTTTTGCTAACTGGGACATAACAACGTTTTTATACGTGGAGTGTGGCGCCAATAGACTAAAAGATTATCCTGCTTTGATTAACGTAAACATGGTCTCCAGAATCCATTTTTATTTACTTTAAATGTTCCTACATGTGTATTTTGTAAACTCACAATCACGCATGTCTGCACTGGACATCTTGTAAGGCCAGTTTGTTTTTGAATGAAAATATTTACTGTGTACTATTTTACTATTTTTTGTCTGTTAGTACAGTGGTACAGATGTTACCGAGTAGCCTGAGCTGAAGGTTTTTATCGTACCCTCAGCCGAGGCCGTCTGAAGAGTAAAGCGAGTACTTCATTTCACCTGTAGGTGGCAGTAATGCAGAAAGCTGCGTTCATTCTGCTTTAAATCCTCCACAGAGGAAGACACAGGAGAGCCGCACGCTGACATTGGGGATCAGACTGCTGCGTCTGAGCGAGTAGCAGAGGTAAGACTTTCATGGATTAGTAGATCAGATTTGTTGCCCTTGACAGATATATATCATATCATATTTTTCATAGAAAAAGGTTTTTGTTTATAATGTCGATATGAGTGGCGGTTAGAGTAATGATATTCTTGACGGTCAACTACTTACCCATCAGTACGGTATGGTCGATGTCATTGCTGAGTGGGTTGCTCGTTAGATAAGATGAATATTGATACCTGATTAGGTTTACCATGTTCACTCCTGTTTTTCTTTACGTAGAGAGCCAAAATACGAGCATTGTATGTTTTCGGAGAACTTGTCAAACTCTCTCAGCCTGTTAGGTAAAGCTAGCTAAGCTAACCATTGTGGTACATGTGAGTTTCACAGAGCAGTGAAGGTGATGGAAATGCCGAGTGTAGGTCATTTCCCCAGTTGGTTAAATGTTGGTAGTGAGGCAAAGTTTGAGAACCTTTTGTAATAAGGCCTACCTGGATTTCTGTATTAGTGTGTCCTCAAATGTGATCTGAGCTTCATCAGTCATGTGACCTAAGACTTTAACAAACATCTCAGTGCCACATCTTTACTAATGACCTGGACTGTTTAGTATATAAATCTAGCACAGGACTAATCAAAAAGAGGGAAGTAAATGCAAGTGTAGATTTGACCACACATATCAAAGAACAAAGTTACCTTGTCTTATCAACAGAATGATGTTTAAGTCCTGTATGGTTTGATTAAAAAAGATTTCAGAGGCCCTCAGGAGAAAATTAGCTCAAGAGAAATGCTCACAAGACAGGAAAGCATTATATAAAGTTCACTCCAAGGGCTCTCAAAAAGTGACGATGTGACAAAGACGTCTAAGCATGCATCTATGCATCCATTCATGCCAAAGGGTTCACACACTTTTTCCCCCCTTACAATTGTAGATAGCTAGCTAGCAGCACAGGTAACAAATTAGTGAACTTTCAGGCCATTTGTTTCTGTTACACTCCAGTGTTTGCTTAGATATATATATTTCCCTTAAAATAACTTGGCGTCATTGTGATTTAAGCATGGACGTACATGGTCTGTTGAATGGCTATTTAAGGCTCCTCATGAACTTCCAGTGTGTTTAGATATATCATCTGATCACAAAAGGAGGAGGATTCAAGATGGGTGCCTCAGTGACTACTTCTGCTACCACTGTGAAAGCAGAGGCAGTGACATTGCCGGCTCAGTTTGGTAATGGCTCGCCTCCGCAGGGCTGCCCAATGCAGCAGGAAAACCAGAAGAGTAAGTTTAAAGTCAACCTGGAATTAAAGTGGACCTTTTTTCACCTTGTTAGTTAATGTCCCTGGTTATATTAGCCACAATTTTCTCATACCATTCAAAAGACAAAATTCTTGTTCTCTCATAATCTTGGATTAAAGTGCTGTGACTTTTGCTTGCCTCTAAAGCATCTTTTGATTACATTATGGTGCCCTAGTGGGCTGGAAAAAAACATAATCAAGATCACATTTCACTTCCTACTCTCACCATCCCCACCCATAGGATCCAGCAAAAATGTTTTTATTACTTTCTTTCAGTCTGAAATACGACACAGTATAGAAGGAAAATACGTTGTGATTTCCGATTCACATTGACTTTAGGTAGATCACAAACACTGCTCATGTTGATATGTCATCTGTTGTACCATATCATCTAAATCCTAAGGTTCTTATCCATCGGAGTGCCCCTTGCATCAATCTCCTGCTGGGCCAGCGCACCAAGACCAGGCCTACGAGTTTGTGGAGTGCCCAATGAGAGCTGCAAAAGCAGGCACACAGGGACTATCTGACATTGATCCAACAAATATGGTACTTGATCCATCACTGACTGATAGGATGATGTTGTTCATATTTGTTTGCATATATTTTGAAATTATGAATTATGAAATCTGTGTGTTTTTATTCTCTTTTAGATGCCCCCACCTAACCAGCAGCCAGCTCCTGACCAGCCTTTCTCTTTATCAGTTAAAAGAGAGGAATCCACAATCCCCAGAGCTGGGACAGATAATAATTGGGTTTATCCCTCAGAACAAATGTTCTGGAATGCCATGTTGAGAAAAGGGTAAGTGTGTTACATTTTTGCTTCATTCTAAATAATACTAGTACACTTATTTAGTTAATTCTAATCATTTTCTACAGTAAATTGTTTTTCCCTGGGTGTTATGGCATGAAGAATGAACGAGATCTTGCTTGTCTTGCTGTGATGAGCAATGTGATGTTTCTAGTAGTAACAAGGGCACAAAATTATTTAAGACTGCATTAGAGCAAAGTGTCTAACATGGAAATGCACAAAGGTTCTGATGAGCTGAAATGTTGGCATGAAGAATCATCTCGCATTCAAAATAAGTTAAAATTGTCTCATACATAAAAATATATCAGAAGTATGCAAATGATGCTGCCTTTTTTGTGCAGATGGCGTTGGAAAGATGACAGCCTTGCCCCGAATGACATGACAAATATCATCAAGATCCACAATCGCAACAATGAACAGGCTTGGGAGGAGATCCTGAAGTGGGAGGCACTGCATGCCAGGTGAATAAAGCTCCTCTTAGCTTAAGCCAGTGCATTTTTTCTATTACTGTGCCAGTAGTGCTAAATTGAAAAGCTAATCCTATTCAATTTTCTGGCACACTTGTGAAATTTTATATATAGCTCTCTTCTTTGCTTTATGTTTACTCATCATGCTTTGTGTTTGTTTTGTAGTGAATGTCCATGTGGTCCATCTCTGAAAAGGTTTGGTGGTAAAGCAAAGGAACTTTCACCCAGGGCAAGGATACGTCATTGGATGGGGTATGGACTGTTTTTTTCCTTAAGAAAAAATAGAAAAGATACCTAACATCCCTCAGCTTTTTCATGAAGAATGTGTTCTAGCTGTCTTTGTGTCTTAATGTACTTGTTTCCCAATTCTCCTTTTTTTGCAGGTATGAGTTACCTTTTGACCGACATGACTGGATAGTAGATCGCTGTGGAAAAGAAGTCAGATATGTGATCGACTACTATGAAGGAGACCTTGACAAAGACACGTATCAGTTCTCAATCTTGGATGTGCGTCCAGCCTTTGACTCTCTTGAAGCAGTGTGGGATAGAGTAAAGGTGGCCTGGTGGCGCTGGACATCTTAAACTCCCTGAAACTGTATGATCTTATCTCTATACTAGGTTGTACATAGGAAGTCTATTTTCAAATAGATAAGTACGCAGATTTCTTCAAGCATACAAGCTGATGGCCATGTGAAGTGTTAAAGCAGATTCTAATACATGCAGATTGCTCGCTGGAGATGAGAGGGTTTGTTTTAACTCTGTGCTGGTGGTGTGAATGTCTTTAATTCTCTCCAGTTTTTGATTGTAACTTATGTATAATGCGCTTTTCTGAAGCAGATGTGAATATGAATATCTTCTTTGAGAATTTTTCATTTTCAATAGTGTTTAGGAGACAGTTTAAGTGAGCATTTCAACCCAAATCTGCAATTTCTTACCATTTAGAAGTGAACCATTTTCTTGCTATACTGTTTAGTTTGAGGGCAAAGTCATTAGAGAATTACAGAAACTCCTTTGAAATTTATTTTTTGGTATCCCTCATGAAATTAATGGTGCATCCTATTTGTTGAAAGGCAGCAATATATTAGGGCTGTGTACTTAGTCATTAAAAAAAATTAAGCAACCTAACCTAATCACCTCTAACCTAATACCGATACCACTAACCTAAGGTTTTCTGTATTGATTTTTGGTGTTTGCAGTGTCTCACTGAGCATGTATAAGGGGCCAACAACTGTTGCTGCACTTTCTGCTATGCTTTTGGTGAGGAAAGGTTGAGCTATATCTTCATCATTTGAATGGTCATTAAAACTACTGTTTCCTCTTTTAGTATTTTTCTTACAAATGTGAAAAATGCTATTAATCAGTGGAACATAGAACGGTTCAGTGTTAATGGAACTTTTTAAATCATATAAATTAATGTGTTTGAATTCTCAAGGAACGAAAAGTTCAGTGTAATTTCTGCCTTTTTTTTTACGATGTGTATATCTTCTTGTTTTTCATACCCCTTTAATGTCCATCTTTACCTAATGCTGTCGATTTCGGTTTTAAGAAAGTGACATGTATATGAGTGACTTTTATTATCTGTGAAGTTCATTATATCCACTGTATATACTGAAATGGTGGTGTCCACACCAGTGGGTGGTGTTTTCTAGGACACTTCTATCTCTGAATTCCTGAATTTCCAAAGCTAATGAAATATGTAATTGACTCGCAAACATGGTCTCTTTCTTTGTATCCAAGGCATTGTGGTTTTTAGAAGGCTAACCTGTGTTTAAAAATCTTACCACTAAATGTTCAGCTTCTCATTCTTTTTAACAATGAGTTTAAATATTACTTTTTAAAAATAAAGATGTGATTTGCTTAAGTTACCACCAGATGGCATCCTTTCTACAGGCATGCATTTTCCTCCTCTCAGTTTTACACAAATATTTCAGCAGACATGTTGACTGAGTGGTAGGACCATGGTAAAGCAGGGCTGAAACTGGGAGGTACTTTGTAACATTCATGCACTGCTTATATACAATTAACATCTTTGAACAGAAAAAAAAGTTTATTTTCTTGTAAAATTTTAAAGTTGCATAGATATAAGCCAATAACTGGCATGGGTATAGTTTGCAAGTCGTTTAATGCAGATAAATTTGAGATGGGCCTGGGCAGTTTACCACCTATTCATATCTGTATGTATGAAAATGCATTTGTTCATTGTTATTGTTATTATTCATATTGGTCACATCTCTACAACATACAGAACAGGATAGCCTACAAAATAGTCTTTCTTCGGTGTGAAATACTGCAGAGGGAAGCTGAAATATGATGTCCTTGTAAAGAATTTTCAAGAACAAAGATGACAGTCATGAATTGGAAAAAAGAAGTTTGAAATAAATGCTCTGTGCTTGTAGAATGATGTCAGAAGGGAGAAGAATACTCTTAAATAAGCCTGAGACAAGGGTGGGTGCTTGGGGTATCAGATGCTTGTGTACTTCTACTGAGTGGGTGTGGGAAAAAGCTTTTCTCACAGCAAGATTAAGCCTTGAGTTCCTGTCTTCCAGCCCACTTAGGATGTCGGGTTGGCACAAGTTTGACATCTCCCACTCACAGAAGCTTCCTAGAGACCTCGTCTTGACTGGTCATTGCTGCTGCAGTATTTCTGATTATACTAAAGGATGTGGTGGATCAGTTCCCTCATGCAGACTCTGAAGGCCACGGAGATTCATGCACGAGCTCAGATATGTGCATGTTACATTTCCACTAGGACTGCTGCTTGGCAGAGAGCCAAGTACCCGCAGTGTAGAGCACATAGTGGATATACAAACAGCCTGTGGCAGTTCAGTCTGGCTGGCTGATCCCCTACATCCCCCCACCACACCCCGACTACTGCTCTCCAGGCTGGTCTTTTTTACATGCCGAAAGATGCTGTGATGTGCCAAGAACAATAACAAGGTTGTGTGTACATTTTACAGCTGTACTAATAATTAGCTTAAGAAGATTTACTGCATCGTGTGATTATTATTGTTTATGTATGGATGTGCATGACTTTCAAGGTGTTAGTGGTAGATACTGAGCATTCATACACTATAAAGAGTTTCAAAAGCCGTATTGATGTAAACCTGCACCCAAACAATACAAACCGAGCTACTGAAGGTGTTTCAATTTTCTTTTAGCGCTATGATATCATTGCTGCTTCTTGCTAAAATATGATTGTTAGGAGTAAAACTGCAGAACAAAAGGCACTAAAGCTGCACAACATATTGTTTGTTAGCTATTATCATCACATTGGCCTCTGCTATAGTGATATACTGATTCTGTGACTATCCTGACCAATGAAAAAGTTCTTTGGGTGTTTCATTGAATGAACGCATTTATCAATCCAACATAAAAATAACATGGGTCAAAATAATGCAGGCGGATCCTTAACTTGACCATATCAAGGGTTCACTAATGTGTTTTTTAATATATAAGGCATACTGCAGTTGCTGTATGTAGAAAGACATCTGTGATATGGTATTTTGCTCATCTTGTACAGCGCTAACCAGAACTACTACATTTCCCCTCTAAATAGATTCTTTCTATTACTAAAGTAATAATAAGCTCCATTTGGGGATGGTTTATCTTCTTTTGTTTTTCAACATTTATCAGAAGATCTAAAATAATAATCTTTCATTATAAGCTTAAACATGAGTATGAAGCATGCATTAAGGCACTAGCAGTCGCATTTTGAGCAAGCAGTTGAAACGTCAAGGGTGGTTGTGTAATTAGCATTTTGCACACCACCATCTTGTTCAGTAATGGAGAGCATGCATACATGACCTGCAGTGTGTTTTAGCTCTTCCCTGGGGGAATAACTGCAGCCTCCTACAGCAGCCTTCAGCCTTTAGCTTCATGTATGGCTACATCTTATCACAGGTTTTAAAGTAATTACATGTTTATCAGAGAATGTTTCGAATAGTTGATTACCATTGGTTCCACTTCTCTCACCTCAGCTGTATATATATATATATATATATATATATATATATATATATATATATATATATATATATATATAAAACTTGACACAATGGAAGTAAGTAAATGTGATCTCTGTTTCCCAGTTGCATGTAAACAATAAAGGAAAATTACCATTATTTTAAAAACTTCCATTAAGTTAATGGAGGCAGACAGCTCTTAAAGGACTGTCACTCTACGGACTCCAGGGGAGAGTAAAAAGCCCTATGCGAAGCACTGAAGGCTGCCTCCAGTGTTGTTTGAGGAACTGAGTAACACTTTTATGGCTGTAGCAATTGAGTGCTGTTGCCTGCTAGTGAAGTGCCTGGTGATGAGCTTGTCACAGCACTGGTACTGGTCAGGCCAACATATTAGAAATACCAAAGAACTACAGGTTCTAACTGCAATCACCACTGAGCTGATCCCTGAAACCTTAATTATTTCAGGGCATATATCATGATATACAACCTTGTTTCCATGTGCAAATCATTTTAACTTTATATACATTTATATTTAATTGAAAATAGTACAAAGACAGTATATTAAACAATAAAGCTAAAAAATGTCATTTTTTGAAAAAGTTAGGACGGGGCAACAAAAGGCAGGTACAGTTGTGGAGGGGTTTGTCACTCTGTGAAAGACTGCATGGGTAAATAATGCAGCAATTTAAGAATAACGTTTCTTAATGTAAAATAGCAAAAACTTTCATTGTTTATGGTCCATATTATCATTAAAAGATTCAACGAGACCAATATTTGCTGGCCGTGATCTTAAGGCCCTTAGGCGGCACTGCATTAAAAACAGACACGATTCTGTAGTGGAAATCACTACATGGGCTCAAAAACACCAGAGTCTGTGAGCACAGTTCATAACTGCATCCACAAATGCAAGTTAAAACTTTAGCTTGCAAAGAAGAAAGTGTGTTAATACACAGTGTGCAATATATCATAAATGCTACTGTAATGACACTTTCACTGTGCACTTTACACTCTAATACTGCTGCTACTCCTAGTTGTCTATACTCATTGTGCTTTTAGACTACCTCATACCACTTAGTGCCTGCCATCATGTAAATACCTGTAATATCTGTCTTATATGCTATGTAAATATGCAAATAGATATACTTTTATTTCTACTCTCTTATACTTTGACTTATGTGTATTTTTATTTTACTTAGCTTGAGCCCAGAGAAGGCAGCTAAGTGAAAAAAGTCCTGTGGTCTGACTAATCAAAATGTCACCTCAAGAGAAGTGGGCTAAAGAGAAGAGGGACAATCCGGGTGGTAAGCGCACAGTTTAAAAGCCAGCATCCATGAAGGTGGTGCATCTTTTTGATCTTTAGTCTACTGAAGACATTTTTGCTCAGAACATCACACCACAATGAAGAGAATTAAATCATTTTGATATTGAGACTTTTTTCACTTGTGTCATGCTTGTCCCTCAGCCTTTATTTGCAAACATGCTATATGCCTTTTCAAATCATTTCACATTACCAGAACTGCACATATGGCTGGCCCCCTGAAAACATCAAGGCAAATGCACATGGTTTCACAGCATCCTCAGTGTTTTCACAACAAGGTGGAAAACCCTTGCTCCCCATGCTTACTGCTGTGCTAGCTAGCACTTTTAAGTACTTGTAATATTGTTAGTGCTAACATCCATCTGGCTAAATGTGGAAGTAAATAATGCTTAACAAGAACATTTCTGTTAGGATTTGTTAACTGTGCAACTCTCTCTGTATCCTTTCCTTTTTCATGCATGGCAAACGTTTGGCCAGAATCTTAGCCCATTATTTTAGTTTTTGTTTTCACACTCAATATGATATTTACTGTACTGCAATAGCTACTGCTTAGCCATAGCTGGCTGTGCCAGCTTGATCTTAGCATGCATCTTAGCATGTGTACTGAATAGATTTCTTGTTTGTTTTACCCAATTTTTGTCATGGCTAATTCTCACCTGCTAGTTATTACATGATACTGACTAGCTGAAAGGGTAAAGCCTAACACATTTTCTTCAGACACATGAGGCCAGTCACGTCTTTTTAAACTAATGCAGCTGGGCAGCTCAGTGTCCTTGGAGGGAATGATAACTGTCAATTCTATTGCATCAGCTAACGTTGTGGTTCTCAAACCGGCTCTTAGGGACCCCCAGATGGTCCAGATTTTTGCACCAACCTATCTCACAACACACAGGTATAGAGCAAAAAAATGTGGACCAGAACCATTGAGCTAACAGATGCCTGTGTTGGCTAGCATTGCGGTGAGTGATGGGTAAAGGGGAGGGCCATTCTTCCCAACTTTGGGGAAATAATTTTTCACTGTCCTGCACAATTCTTGAGCTGTGAACAAAATGGATCCTTATTTGTGTACCTCAACCATCTTTTTTTTAGACTTGTAAGAAGTTTTCTGAGTGATTTTAAGGGCAGTACAATCTCCTGTAATGCATGTCTAGTGAACACTGTAGATCACTACATCAGCTGAATGTATACCAAAGTGCGCTGTGAGTCTCTTGTTATTATGAACAGAAGAATGTTACATTAAATGTAGCTGCTCAGCTACTGAAAATTTAACTTATCTGATTCTCTTGACTTTCTGAACAAAGACTAGAAAACAATATCTGCTCTGTGCAGTTAAAAACAAAGACTCTAATGCTGCTCATCATACAGCAAAACACTGGTAACTGCAAGTAACTGCAGTTATAGACCAAATTTGTGCTCTATTAAAGTTCTTCCC